TAGTTTCAGATACACTCAAATATATACTGAGAGGGTTCAAATGTGTGGTAATGTTTAACACTGCTGCACACATGCCATCTAGTGGCAACATACTGCATTAACTGCAGTTACCAGGTCATTTCTACAAATCTCAACGCCTTCATAAAAATGAGGAACGAGGGCTATAGAAACTATATGAACATGTGCAATTAATATGAATCTGTGATTATGATGTTAAGCTCATTCATGCATTGTCTCTGTTGCTTTTTCAGGTGTGTATGTTCTCATAGCGATTGGGGCTGTAATGATGTTTGTGGGGTTCCTTGGTTGTTATGGAGCTATTCAAGAATCTCAGTGTCTCTTAGGAATGGTGGGTTTTTACTCAACTCACACTATTCATGCTGCATGCCTTGAAGAGATTTACAATTCAACTTCAAAAGAGCTTTACAAGAACTAAACTACACTTTACTTATGGTTAAAAATTATAGGTGTTGTTTTACTTTAGCCAGTAGCATTTGATGATGATGATGATGCCGTTTTTGACTATAATAAAATTTATTATTTACAAACTGGCATGTGTTATTTTCTCAGAAGTTCAAATTCATCCAGAAAGATTAATAAACATTGATTTATGCATTAATTGTTTAATAATTCAACCAGATTCTATTAGTAGGAGACAATACCCTTGTGAAAAGAACAGTTTAGCATACTTTTAAGTATTTATTACAGAAATAATTTACTTCACTGTGAAATAATGTAATGTTTTTAGGCACTTAGCTGCATGTCTGTTGCAATTGAAAATGTATTATTGTTTGCAGTGCAATTAGCTGAACTTTAGAGTGATATTTTTTGACCACGTAAGTAGGACTTACCGTAAATGCATCATTATATGACATTTTTATAAGCACTTCTATTGTCTTTAAAATATGGTTAAAGCGTACTGCCGAACATACTGACAAGAATTTATGGTACACTACATACTTTTATTAAAACAATTCCTATTGAAACTTGTATGTCAAATATTTAATTGTATTTGTAATTATAAATTGTTTTGTAATTACACATGTAAAGTTGTACATTTCTGAACTGACACATATAAAGTATATTAACTTTGAAAGTGTAAGCACACCTAAGTGGCTTTTTATTTCATTAATATTATCTTATCTGCAAGTACAGTTTTTAAAAACTTACTTAAAAGTTTTAATGTACACCTAAACTGCAAATTCAACACAATTAAGCACACTTTTTTTCACAAGGGTAGTCATCATGATGTCAATTTGTAGGCCAGCCCAGAAAGCTAATTCGCTAAAGCTAATATCCATGTGGAATCTTCTATGGGTGTTCGGCATGTTTTTTTTTTTTTTAAACTAAGCTCTGTGTTTAACATGAAAAAGTGATTTGAAGAGTTGTTTCATCTTTTGTTCTACACACAGTCTTACCTTAAACGTTCTTCCTATTCCAGTATTTCTTTCTTCATCACACAGTTTATCTCTTTTTCTTGCTCAGTTCTTCACATGTTTAGTGATCCTCTTCGCCTGTGAGGTGGCAGCAGGAATATGGGGGTTTATTAACAGGGACACGGTAAGGCTAAACATTCTGTAGACGTACACTCAGAAAATCTGTAGATTAAGACTTCATTTTAAGGCTGTCACTCTCTCACTTTCTGTCTGTCCAGATCTCCACTGAGCTCATTAACTTCTATGATGCTGCATACATTAAAGCTGTTGATCCTGTGGACACAACATCCAGACAGGCAGCTTCCAAAGTTCTGGAGGTCTTCCATGACTCAGTGAGTTGCCAAAATCTATTCCTTCATCAAAATCCTTCATTTTGGACAGTTAATAATCCCCATCGCTTATTATTATTTAATTTTTTTTTGCTCTCTCTCAATATCTAGCTGGATTGCTGTGGTAAAGGGGATGAAAATCAACTTTTCACAGTTGTCCAGGCCTCTCTGTGTCCCAAAAAGACATTCCCACTTGACCCGCTCATCTCCCAGGTATCTTCAGACCATGATAGAGAACTCATTTCAATTCAGCCTGACCTTAAGGCAAGAATGTAAACACATCAATATAGTTCTATGAAAGAGTCAAGTTTCTCTAAAGCATATTTTGATGGACTGTTATGGTTTTAACTCCTCTAGAACTCTTCACTTTTCAGTTGATTCTTATGAAAAGATTCTTAAAGGGTTAGTTCACCCAAAAATGAAAATTAGCCTAGAAAATATTTACAGTTGCATTTACAGTTGCATTGCTGTCTACTGAGGGTCAGAGAGCTCTCAGATTTGATCAAAAATATCTTAATTTGTGTTCTGAAAATGAACAATGGTCTTACTGGTTTGGAACGACATGAGGGTGAGTAATTAATGACAGAATTTTCAATTTTGGGTGAACTAACCCTTTAATAATAAGCTATGCCATGATATTTTTCTGAGTGCAAAAATCTTACCTGTTTCATTTATGTATGCATCACACATTTATAGTTTGTTTATTTTAAAACGGTGCAATCCAAATGCATATACATTTTAAATGCAATTCATATATGTAAATGTAAAATTAGGCCTAAATATTGTTTGAGTTTAGTTGGAATTACACTAAATTATAACCAAAACAAACAATCTTATAAAAAGGGATATTTTGATAGCTGAGTTTTTTTGATTGTGGATAGACTAATGTATTGATGTTGTGCACTTCAGAGTTGCCACACGAAGCTAAGGGACCTGTTCACTGAGAAACTCCATGTCATTGGATTGGCCGCCCTAGTGATTGCTGTCATTATGGTGAGAATGAACACACACATGCACAGACATGCACAAATTACAGACTTGTGCTAGGAATAACTAAAGACAGCTGGGTGTGTAATTTCTCTCTACTGTGTGTCTAGGTTTTTGAGATGATCTTCACCATGGTCCTCTGCTGCGCAATCCGCAATGCTCCTGCATATTGAGTTGCTGGATGATGACCAGCCTGATCAACAATGTTTGATTTTGGTAGTGATGGGCAGGAGGCCATTTCACTTTTGCCTTTCCTCTCTTTTCAAGTTCAAGTGTCCACACACTGAACATTGATCCCTGTGTTTGTAGAGAGGACTTCCTATGTGAATACATCAGAATACAACACCAAGGGCTATTATAAATAAACCAGTAACCAATATCAGGGAGGAGGAAGAATGTGATTGACAGTAATATGGATAACTTTGCCTTTATGTTGTATTGTTTTACTTTTATTTAATCATTTTATTAAATTTGCTCTTATGGTCTGTTGTTCAACTTTTAGTAATAAAAGTGCTTCAGCACACTCTTTAAGCGTGTGTGCGTGCTTGTTTGTGAAGTAAATCATTGTTATGTTTATAGAGAGATAAATGTTACCCTATGAATCCATTATGCAACAAGTCAATTTGTGTCTTCTGAGAATGCATATCGTACATTAGACTTTACCAGCCCATAATGATGATGTCATGATAATCCAATGATAACTCACATGAAACAAATCAAACTTTACCCAATGAGCCTGTGGTATTTTTTATTTTGTGGACATTCAGTTTATTTCTAATAAACCTTCTAATTAAAAAATTCTGCCAAATTATTGTTATGAATGTTGTGTTAGCAGGGCTCTCAAGTTATAGCAAAAGTTTGGAGTGAGATTAGTGGAGGAGCCATTCAAATATTTGCAGCACCTATTCTCTCGTTTTCGCTAGCAGTTCAATTTTAGCTATTATAAATAATTGACCTGAACAAATAGAAATGATAACTGGTAAATCTGATAAAAAACAGACAAATTCATCCAAATAAAATAAATAGGTTTATGTATTTCAAAAATACAAGTGTATCAAAAATAAAAAGAAATTTAGCCACACACACACACTTTACATAAATCTGCAGGGCAAGTTCTGCAATCCTACTGTATGTGTACAGTATTAGTAACGTTATGTACATTGAGCACCAGTGTTGGGGGTAACGCATTACAACCCAGTCAACAATTTGATCTCACAATGATGTCACCATGAGCTCACACGATTCTCATGGTGTGGTCACAATGTGTGTGTCACAGTGAGCTAAAAGTGTAACCACACTGTCTTTGCTTCTGACCTTCGATGATCCAGTTCAACCGTACTAATAAGCACAAATTACTCTAGACAAACATTTGTGTCTTTTTTTAATTGCTGAAGTGTGTTTAAATTTCTTCTTCTGCATTCTACTGTACGGACGAAAATTTACATTTCCTTCAGCCTGCGGCTTATTCATTTCACTTTTGGTGTGAAAAGGCTTTTATATTTGCCAAAAATATAACTTTTTTATTTTAAAGACCAACAAGCAAGCCCTGTCCAGATTTTAAAAGTAACGCAAAAGTAACGTACCACATTACTTTCCATAAAAAAGTAACGAAGTAACGTAATTAGTTACTTTTTTATGGAGTAACGCAATATTGTAACGCATTACTTTTAAAAGTAACTTTCCCCAACACTGTTGAGCACTGCTCTTCAGTTGGCTCGTTTGGGGCCACATTTCTTTTTATTTTTGATACTTTTTAAAAATAAATATATAAAACAATTTATTTTATTTGGATGAATTTGTCTGTCTTTTATCAGATTTACCCATTGTTATAACATCGCTAGTACTTTCCTTAGTTTCTGGTAGCCAAAGCTAAGCTAATGCTTCTGGTTGCAAAGCAGACTGCATCAGTAATAATTTAGCATGAATTTGGCTATATTCCCCAACATCAGATCTCATTATCTTTGATCACAGGCAAGTGATTTCGTCCAGGAATCAAAAAATCAAAATGATGAAAAAAAAAAGGTTACCTACAGCATCATCGGGTCTTGCTCTCCCAATTTAAGCTCCGTGTGTGCGTGCATCCATGTTGCTTAGTAACGAACACGCTTTGCAGCGGGAACACGTAATTTACGCGGAAACAACAACATTCTAATTTCTGATTGGCTGGTAGGTGTCATTTAACTCTGTATATAACTCGAGACAGCTCTGAAGCTGAACTCGGCAGAGAACTTTCCTCCGTATTCGTCCATTAATTATAGCAGGACAAGTTATCCCTTATTTCTCAGCGTGAGAAACACCGAATATATTGTGCACTGTCGCTTTAAGAGTAGATAGCTAGAGAGACCTGTAAAACGATGCCATCTTGCACCGAATATATTGTGCACTGTCGCTTTAAGAGTAGATAGCTAGAGAGACCTGTAAAACGATGCCATCTTGCACCGAATATATTGTGCACTGTCGCTTTAAGAGTAGATAGCTAGAGAGACCTGTAAAACGATGCCATCTTGCACCGAATATATTGTGCACTGTCGCTTTAAGAGTAGATAGCTAGAGAGACCTGTAAAACGATGCCATCTTGCACCGAATATATTGTGCACTGTCGCTTTAAGAGTAGATAGCTAGAGAGACCTGTAAAACGATGCCATCTTGCACCGAATATATTGTGCACTGTCGCTTTAAGAGCAGCAGAGTAAATGTTGTGCTTGCATGATTCAAAAGGTGAGGCCCCGCCCAATCTGTGTTAGGTTAGTTTCGTTTGTTCGATCGTGAGGCGTCTGCTGTAAGTGTAAATAACGCTTTAAAGATGGGCGCATCTAATGGCAAACCTCTGAAATGTCCTCTGTGTTATGAGGAGTTTCGGGAGCAGGTGACGCTGGCCTGCGCTCACAGCTTCTGTCGGGTTTGTATCAGAGAGTTGTGGAGCGGATCTCAGACCGGACCGTATTACTGCCCCGAGTGTAGATACGAGTACCAGCATCTGCCGGACTATACTGACGGAGCGTCAACATCTGCAGCCACACCAAACACACGTAACGTTACGTTCATTAACACAAAATAAATGTTGACTTTGTTGACCTTGAACGTGTATGTTATTATTATATTGCACATGTGTAAGTTGCTCGTGACCACAGTCTATGCTCGTGACGTAGTAGGCCACAACTGCTCCTGTGTATTGATCTGTTGTAGTTGATGTCTCCTATCAGGTTCCAAGCTTCAAGCTTGAAATCGTCAATAGGATGATGCATGTATGGGTCTTATAAAATCATAGAAAAACAAAAACGTTTCTCAATCACATTACTAGTTTATTTAATTTGTCTCCAAAATACTGTATGTGTTGGGAGAATTGTGGTATTTGTGTCTTTTTTTATTCTTTCAGGCATGACTTTACACCACAATGCCAATACAATATCTGCCTCCTAATTTCATAGCTAGATTTTTAAAATACATTATTGAATGTATTTTAAAACACATTATTGAATTATATATATATATATATATATATATATACACACACACACACATAATATATATATATATATATATCAAAATAAAATATTTGCAAAATTGTACAATTGCAAAATTATTTGAAATGCTGTGCTATAATATTTAGTGATATTTACCTTGAACATACATTACAGTAGATAATTCAACTCAAGCTCTTCACAGAAAGTTACTTTGATAAACAAGTTCTGAAAAAAAAAAATATTTGGGGTAAAATAGTGTTGTGATGGAAATGATGCCACAACTGAGAGATTGCATTTTTGAAAAATGTTTTAAGCAAAATCATTGTCAAAATGTTTTTAAAAATTGTACATTTAATTTTCATAGTATTAAGAAGAAAGGGTCTAGGATGGGGTAAAACAACCCTGAATATAAATAAAGAAATATATAAAATAAGTAAAATCCATTTTAAAAATTAAATTATGAAATTATTGCAATTGTAAATCACAAATAATAAAAGCATGGAAAAATGTTTCCAAGACAGTTTTAATCTGTTATTCATATATCAAAAATAAAAAGTTAAAATCTGTCGACCCCTAAAAAAACTAAAATTGCCCAAAGCTGATGAAAACCTTGGTAAAACTTTATTTTACAGTGTCCCTGTTACATGTACTTATTTTAGTAATAACAGTACAATATGCATTATGACATGTAACTAGCCCTAAACCAATCTCTAACCCTATAGTATGTAAGTAGTACATGTTTATAATTTATATTACTCAGTAATTACATGAAACTGTTTTAAAAGTTGTGTAAGTTGTGAAGATTATAGAACTTGATCTAGAACTTTTATACAGTGCATACCTTTCCCTCACAGCCTCGTTTTAATTCATTTTAAATTAAATATGAAATATAACCTGACTAAGGTCTATTACACTGTAACAAAGACACCATAAAATAAATAACCAAGAAACACTTATATACATTAATGTAATACTATGTTTTCAAGTAGATTGGCCATTTGGAAAGAAGCTGCACGGCCGGCACTCGAAGAAATGGCACGGGAAGAGAAAGTTCAGTTCAGCATTCCACGCTGGTGGATACAGACTGGGCTCAGCCCCATCTAATAACCCCGTCAGTGACTATGATGTAATCAAAATCATTGACTCTGATGAAGACACATCAATACCACGGAAAAGAAAGGCCGCAGCAGACGAATGCTCTTCTGGAAGCCAGCCTCCATCAATGGTTTGGGGGACCACCTCTACGAATGACACATCCTCACAACGCACACCTCCAGACACAGAGATCACGTCTCCTCATGTAGAATCATCTCCTGAGAGGAACACAAGTTCCCCTCAGCAAGACCAGCATCCTGTGGCTTCCTGCAGTGACACCGGCTCACCCAGGACGAGCAACACACCTCAGGGAGAGAAAACCTCCTCACCAGCAGTCAATGCCACCTCTCATACACCTGGAAGGCAGGAAACAGATTTTAACAGTGGAGAGCCCCTCAGTATCTCAGCAGCAGCATCATCCTCAGACAGACTTTGCAGGAGCAGTTCTGTGCCTTGCCATTACTGTCCCAGTTCAGAACAGAAGGTGGCGGTAAAGACCTGCCTGGTTTGTGGGGCCTCCATGTGCTCCGAGCACCTGCGGGCACACCTGGAAAAGCCGGTTTTCCAGAACCACCCGCTGGTGAACGCTGTGGAGGATGTGACCCTGTGGAGATGCCAGGAGCACCAGGAGATGAACCGGATCTACTGTCGATCATGTGCAGTGTGTGTTTGCACTGTGTGTTCCCTGGTCGGCTCGCACAAGGGGCACGAGTGCATCAGCATCCGCGAGGCAGAGCAGGAGCTCAGGGTGAGAGACTATTGGGCATTTTTAAACACCATTTCCCCTTTCTGAATAGTTTTTCATTGGTGATTTAATATGTTTGAGTTTTGTAACTTTGCTGATATTTTTTATGCTCAAACAGCAACATTACAGACTAACTAAAGTTGAAAAAGTGAAAAAGCATAATAGCACCCCTTTAAGATTCCGGTTAAACCTGAAGTTTTTAGTAGTATACTATTGTTCAAATGTTGGTAACATTTATTTAATGTTTTTGAAGTCATTTTGATCATAAATTCTTTCTATTTTAAAATATTTTAAAATGCAATTCACATGAAGAACAACATTTATTTGAAATCGAAATCTTTTGTAGCATTATAAATGCCTTTACTCTTACTTTTGACTAATGTGTACTTGCTGAATGGGAGAATACATTTCTTTATTTCAGAAAATGTGTTGCTCATTGGTTTATCTGCATTA